AATCATCATTTTAAACGTGTGAAATGTTTTCTCTCTTCTGACATATAATGCGTATGAACCACTTTCTGACAGAATTTTCACTGGTGATGAAAAATGGATTCTCTATGCAAATATTAAATGCCAAAAACAATGGCTCAGTCCTAGACAAAAACCACTTCCGACCCAAAAACTTGGACTCCATCTTCAGAAAATGATGCTTTGCATTTGGTGGAACATCAAAGGAATGATTCATTTCGAACTCCTCAATTCACAGTGAACTGTCAATGCAGAGATCTATAGCCATCAACTGGAATGTTTAAATCAAGCTCTTCATCAGAAACGCCTTTCACTCGTCAATTGGAAAGGTGTTCTTCTCCATGACAATGCACATTCACATGTGGCACGTGTGACGCAACACAAGATTATGGAGTTGGGTTGGGAAGTTCTCCTCCATCCATCATATTCTCCAGATATGGCACCATCAGATTACCATAATTTTTTGTTCACTGCAACACCATCTTAATGGGAAAACATATGCAAATGTAGAAGGTGTTAAAGAGGACATCAAAATGTTTTTTGGTTCAAAGTCAAGTGATTTCCTTAATCAAGGCATTAACAACCTGACTGTAAAATGGAAAAGCATCATCGATAAGAATGGGGATTATTTAATTTAATAAATGTTTTGTTTTGATATACAAGTTGTTTGGGTTTTTTCATCTAAAAAAAACTAACACTAATTTCTTGATGACCTAATACTTGCATGTGTTTTAGGTTGTATGTTATATTGTATTCATTTATGTGATACCAAAGAAATGTCAATAAACAAGTTCCAAAGATCATACCAAGAATTTTATACATAACACTTGTTCACTGAGGCATTAGAAGCATAAGTGGTTGTTCACATACTTGATAGGTGCTCTTCAGATAAAAAGATAAGTTTTGATTTATAAGGCTTTCTAGAAACAAGTGGTTGGAAGTCAAATTTAATTGTCTTTGGGCCTTTTGGTCTCTAATAATATGCAGTAACTTTCAGAGAAAATACATAATCATCAAAAAAGAGAATACTTTGTTAATTTGCTAAAAGAGTTGTGTTCCTTCCCTGAAAAGTACTAGTAAATTTATTTGGAAAAGATTAATAAAAATAAATAAATCGGTTAATAAGAAAATAATACAAAAATTTAATGTAGAAAAGGTTAATTGCAGGTTTACTCTTTCATATGGAAGTTAATGAAACATGGTTTCTTCTACTTTAATGTGTAAAGATCATGTATGATAATGAACATGTTTTTGTAAGGAATTTTGTTTTAGTATTAAAAAAAATTTTAAATTGGATATGATATTTTTAGTCATGCCTCTTTAATGTTTTGTGAAGAGGGGTGAAACACAAGATATTCATTAATATGTTAAATTACAAATAATTTTTTATTGAATATATCAGAATAACGTGTAGTTATAATTAATCTATTCTAAAAGTTTTCATTCTTTTCAATGTGTTGTACACTTAAATAATTATCTTTTGTCCCTTATGTAAGTCAAACATTTAAGTAGTACAGATTACTTTGAAGTGGATGGACGATAAGGAATCTTCTCCATTGTGAGAACTAGATATTGAAATTGCCTATATCGGAACATAATTGTCTACATCTAAGTTATATCTGAACTGTAGCGAATCTCTCAAAATTCATCATATATTTAGAAATATTTATACATGTGTGTTTTCAAAAAGCAAGGTTGGGCTCTGTAATTATTTATAAAGTGGAACAAATTTTTCATTATTAATTCTTTTTGTGTATTTTCATCCAACCTTAGGACATAAAATCATACTGTAAATTTGGACCAGGATTTCCATATCCTATAATTTCTGATGAGAAACGTGAAGTAGCTGTAAAGCTGGGAATGTTAGATCCTCTGGAAAAGGACAGCCAGGGACTTCCTTTGACGTGCAGAGCAGTAAGCTATTTTAAACTTTAAGTTGCAGAAAGGTTAGGTTTACAGATTTTAAGTTGGATGGTTTTAGTCTTAGATGATTTTTATTTCTTGTTAAACTGAATAATAATAATAAAAATTCTATTTCATTTAAAATAGGTTCTAAAGTCTGTGATCAGTTGGAAATATCTTCAACTGAGAAATACTCTTTTCAAAATAAATAAATCTTATCACAGAATTTACAGTAAAAAATATGTATACTAAGAGTCCACAATGAAAGTTACAGCCATTTTTATAAATAGGTTATGACAAGAATTACCATTAAAAATAATCCTGTTTCTCAGATTATACACCTGTGGGGGAGGGGTTACTATTATTCAAGTGAATTCATTTTATGCTAAATTAAAGTTTGAGTGGACAAATTTTCACCCACATATATATTGTTGCATATTTTATTTATAAATACATGTATCTTTGTGTATAATTATCTGAAAGATTTATTTTAAAGGGATATCAAGAATTAAAAGCCCCTGTGATTTTGCAAACAGAATCAAATCAGGCTAGAATTTTTTGAAGTGTATGTAGTAGCGATACCTAGAAAAGGCAGATTAGTTTAATAGATATGTTGGATGAACATTAGAGGTTAATATTAATGCATGATTTTTCTTAAGAGCACTTATGAGTTAGATTAAATTGGAAACTTTGCTAAGGACCAAAAAATCTTGGTGTCACCTCTGATCTGCAGGTCATAGTATGTCATCCCTTAAAATAGAGAACAATTTGTTTTTCAATTTATAAATCCAAAGTAACTGTATGTATTTCTACTTCACCTGATGCAGAAAGTAGGTAATAAAATATAAAACAATGAACTACAGTTATAAATATAATAGTATTAAACTGTTGAGATCATGGAAAACAAAGCTTTTGTGAAGTGTTATACTTTATAAATTGGGAACTCTTTAATATATATGATTGGTTTTTGTCTATTCCACATACTGTAGAACTTTGAATACATTCCAACTGTGTGAAACTCATCCTTTTGTTTGTGTTTCTCAAGTGTAACTAAGTCCTGTGAATAAACTGTTATGTAACATGTGTATTAAAAGCTTTTACAGTAACTTGTACAATATTGCATGTGTAGACCCTGTGGTAGTGGTAGACCTTCATATTTTGAAGTCGACAAGCTAGGTTCAAAATCTGTGCAATACCACAAAATATTTCCTGCACTTTAAGCTGTGAATGCATTATAAGAATGTCAATCAATCCTTTAGCACTGTCTTCTCTCTGGTCAGTATATAACCTTAGGAGCTTTGTCATAAATACAAGTGCAGAAACAATATTGCTAAATGGATGTATAAAGATAAAGGCAAATTTTCAGATTTCTCAATAATATTAATACTGATAATAAAAAGGATGTGTTTAGAAAATCCTCCCTTCTTGTTGTGTCAAAGAATTAAATGGTTACATCTATGTACTTTAGGTTATTTTAATTCTTTGCATTTGCAGATCCAACCTGCTCCATTTTTACTTGAGAAATTATTTATAAAGAGTAACTCGATCAAATTAGTTTGTTTTTTTATTAATTTTTAATTTATGCAAACTGGGGGAAAATGGCCAGTGAAAATTACTTTTCTTCACTTAGCTGGATCTTTAACACAGATAACAATAAGATTTATTAATAGTAAACACATTATACATTAAAGTAATAATATTTTAATTTATCCCCCAACATCACTGATTTGTTTGAAAAACATTGAAATATAGTGATAAGTACGAATAATGCAGATTGAAACTTAAATAGTAGAATATTGTTATGACAGTGGAAGTCATGTGATGCTGGAAGCATGCGCGCTAGAGTTTCTAGAAGGATCATGATTGTTCCTGGCAACTCTAGTCTTTTCTAGGCACCCTCTATTTTAGTATATAAGCCCAGCAAATAAAGCGGAGATATGATTGCAGATAGAGGCAGATAATTGAGTCAAGCCGTAAGTAAAGTGTGTAAATCGCTGTGAATTATAGCTAAGTTAAAGTGACTGTGGAAATTAAGCGTATTACAAAGTTTGTAACAAGAAAGAATAAACTAGTTTTAATTAAGAAAGGACTTGTATTGCTGAAGTTTCATCGGAAAGAAATTATACAGGAAATTATCAAACAAGCAGATACGTAACAATATGAATAACATCTGAGAACTTTGTAATTGCCTGCAATTATGTCATTTTAGCCAGACATGCAAGTATACAAAGAACAGAATAGGTAGTGTATAAAATTTCAGAATTTCTTGTTATTTAAAGCAACTTGATATATGTATAAATATATTCTCATTTTCCATCCATTGTTTTTGATAAGAATTTTTCAAAACAATTTCCATTTTTGTGTAAGTTATTGATTTAAATATTTACCTTGGGAACATACTGCAAGTTTTCATACATGCTTATTTTTGTTTTCAGTAAAAATTCTTGAGCACATGGAACCCTCTATTTATTCTTCCATCAGGTTTTGCACAAGAGGGGAGGAGATAAAGTTTAAATGGTTATTACATAGGATACCAAATTTAATAAAATTACATGACTGCAAAATCAAAATCTGCATTTCTAGACTTCACGTAAAATCAAGTCTAGGTCAGTGTTACTACATTCATAACTTTTGACTTTGGTTGTGCCCCCTAATGGCACAGCAATAGATTTGTGGACTTGTAATGCTAGAAACTGGATTTCAATACCCCTGGTAGGCACAGCAAAGATAGCCCATTCTGTAACTTTGTGCTTAACTACAAACTTTGGTTGTTTGTTATTTCACAAAAACTAAGTTGTTGTTGTTGGTAGCAAAATTTCATTAATAGTGTCTAACATTATACTGTTTGTTTGTAGTTATGCACAAAGCTACACAATGGGCTATCTGTGCTCTGCCCACCACAGGTATCGAAACCTGGTTTATAGCGTTGTAAAACATTATATTAAATGTTATTGTTTTAAACTGTTCTTACTTTAACAATCCATAATTTTAAACTGTTAGCAACATTTTATTTATTTCTTGTGCTGCTGCATAAAAATCAGGTCATTGTTTCTATCTATGTACATAAAGTATGTAAGAAGGTTTACTGTAGACATTAATTTTAGAGGTGATGTTTTTCTTTTGTTTGTTTTGTGATTTTTTTAAAACCACTAAAGTAAGAAACTTTGATTAGTAAACAGAATGATTTTACCATTTTTTAAGATTTGTATAATAATTTTAATTATCACGATGTAGAAGCACTGAAGTGTACATTTCTAAACATTTTCCCTGTGCTTTAGTTTTTCATAGTTAATTGTGCAGACATGTATTTTCACTATATCTCATCAGTCACTCAGGTTTTTACCAATAAGAATAATTTATTTTCATAACATGGTAAGCAACATTATATTTTGAATGTGTTTTTACTTTAAGACATTAATAACTAGAACTCTTTATGTAACATAGAAATTTTGCATGAAAGAAGTGTCAAACTTGGTGGGAATTATTTGTAACATTGAATGTAATTTCTGTTCTCTTGTGTACTTCGCAGCTGTTTATCATTGGGCCAGACAAGAAATTAAGGTTGTCAATGCTGTACCCAGCAACCACTGGACGGAGCTTCGAGTAAGTAGAGATGTGTATCAGGAAGATTGATAAACTAGCTTATTTATTCCTTCTACACAGAAAGTGTGTAGTAATTGCCAATGAATAGACATCTTTGAATGTTGTTTTGTTTTATTGTATAAGCACCCTAGTCCTAATATAAACATTCTGGAGCTAAAAATAAATCTAAACTTTATGTCAGAAAAACAAGAGTTACAATTAAGGCTCAAAGGTTGTGCATCTTGCAGAAGAACAAACTAAATATCTGTTTACTTGTCATGCTATTGATGTTTCATCAACACTCCTTATTCTCTTTCAGTGAAGTTCTTCGTGTGGTAGATTCGCTTCAACTGACTGAAACCAAAAAAGTAGCTACTCCTGTTGATTGGAAGGTGGGTAGAGAGTAAAACTAGTTACATTCTTAAAAATAAACTGACATATGCTTCAAACTGTTTAGTTTTATTTTTTGATTATTTCTACTTCCATCTACAGTAGTATCTACCAAAACTGTGAAATTAATCTTGTTTTTTAGTTCTATAGAGGAAGACGTCTACAAAACAAAAGTAACATGTTTATGGTGGAAATGAAAGTGGGAAAAATATCTGTATTCTAATATTCAAATATGTTCAATTATCTGAACTATCCTTTTGGTTCAGAGTTCTCTCTGGATTCGTTTTGTAGGCTGTTATTAATATTGTGTGTGTGTGTGTGTAAAAAGTTGTATATTGAGGAAATCTAGCTTACACACCTTCTAACAGATATATCTTTTCAAATAAGAACATTTTCAGCTGAAGAATACAGCAGAAATTATAATTTGAGACCACTGTAATGCTAACTGTCAAATTTTGGGTGAAGTAAAACCTTATCTTATAAAGCCTTACTTAGTTCATATTAACCTTTAGAAGAACTTTTAATTAAATGATTTATTGTAAGCAGTAAGCCTAGTGAACATTTAATGGCGT